TGAAATTTATCTTGTTACACTTTATCTTTCGTTCGTTTCGTGCATATGCCGGCAAATGACTCATTTGAATACTAGATATTTCGAGTTTACCGCAGTACTATATGTACCGTTTTGTGAGCGCCAATGATTCTCGGGTAGCGATAGACGCGCCCTATGAGAAGTACCGGCAAACAGATCACCCCGATCACACTACAGGCTACATCCGTAGTCTTCTCCCACAAAGTTTGACACCCATGGGCCATCAGTTTTGCCCACTGATTGTTTTAGAACTACTTTCTGCCACTCAGATTTCTCTCTCTCTCTCTTGGGCCAACACAGGGTTTCGGTCGGTTGTACAAACGGATCAACGCACGTCGAACGTGGCGTTATCTATTGCGGGTGGGGGTCCATCGGCATAGTTCGATGTGACAGCCGAATTTAGAAACACATCATATCTAAAATTACAGTATTTCTCGACCATGTAGGGTGTCGCTGCAACCGCGATCGTTAATTGGTCATAAAGCTCGAGTGCACTGGTTGGTACACGTGGCTCAAACCATGATATCGACTGCCACTCAATTTCTCTCTCTCTCTCTCTTGGGCCAACACAGGGTTTCGGTCGGTTGTACAAACGGATCAACGCACGTCGAACGTGGCGTTATCTATTGCGGGTGGGGGTCCATCGGCATAGTTCGATGTGACAGCCGAATTTAGAAACACATCATATCTAAAATTACAGTATTTCTCGACCATGTAGGGTGTCGCTGCAACCGCGATCGTTAATTGGTCATAAAGCTCGAGTGCACTGGTTGGTACACGTGGCTCAAACCATGATATCGACGCGAACTGACATTGCGATCAAGCGAAGTCATGTTTCATTTGGCTGGAACGAACGGATAGCACAGTAGTTAGTGAACAGTTCTGCATGGTACCCAATCATTATACCTACGTGGACAATAACTCCTCTACTACGATTTTATTGTAGCAGGTCTGGTGGTTCCCAGTTGCTGAAGTGTTCGTCAAGCTTAGCAGCTGACAAGCCCATGTGTACATAACATAGAAAATGCAACCTCCCACCTGCGGATCGGTTACTGCACCAGCCAAGCTACCAAGAACATTGTCCCACATTGCACTGGTGCACTAGAATCTCACATAAGTTTCACCCTTATGGCTAACGTGTTAACAACCATTAAACTATCAGTCAAATGCAGTATGCATTCTAGGGGAATTACCCACCCTGTAGCAAAATGTTTTCGAATTAACTGTCAAGCTCGGTGAACAAACAAATTTCCACCTGATCAACCACCGTTAAATTGTGGCATGTTATGTCGAAGGACTTCGTACAAAGTCATGTCAAAGGATAAGTAGAACCAGATTCGAACAGAAGCGACGTCTATGGATAGATAGCTGACATCAGTAGAAAAGGAATACGCAGATGTCTTCGTCCTGACAGAGTCCCGCTGCGCTACATACCGTAACATGTATCTCAGTTCAACCATCACGAATCAAGGGTGCAGACTGAACACCTAAATTGAATAGACGTCTTTGGGTGTACAACGCACCTGCGGAAACTGGATTAACACGGTGCGCAGACGGATGAGCTGAGAATGCATGAAAATCCTTGTTTCACAAACTGCAAACTATTTCATAGAATATGATCCACAACAAAACTCACAATAGCAATTAAGGAATCATCAATGGATTGTACATAACAAATGTACATACAATGTAAAGAGGGAGTAAGTTACCGGCGATAGGATTCACAGCCATTGTATGAGAGAAACAAAGAGAAGTAACTGAATGGATAGAAAAGAAGGGTAATTAAGATAATCAACAAAATAGTTATCACGGGATAAAAAATTTCCCCTCCTGAAGATTGGATCTGCAAAAGGCGTTTATAAGGCACGCTGGTGGTAAAGGATTCCACAAGTCAGATTCAATCGTGAAAACTCAACTTGCTCATAAAGCGATCAATAGGTTGATGCGTCAATCAGTTGGAAAAAACAACCAAACGAATTAGCGAAAACGAAACAGGCCATATTCTGCTCTCAAAACCAGGTCAGTGTGGTGCAACCGCACAACTTTAAGTCAGTCAAACGAACAAATCACTACATGTGTCTGAAAACCGCTAGGTAACAATCAGTGAAAAAGGTGTAGAAATGGTAATGAGGAGGAACAAGTTAGTGGAAAAAGGCGATCGCATAGAGCGAATTTGTTTGATGCAGCGCCGGAGTAGTGTGTGGTCAGGTTTTGGTGAGTGGCGGAATGGAAAGAACTGAAGCCATTAGAACAAACTGAAATCCTGCATTGTGGGATCCCCGGCCGCAGGTTGGACTTGATTAGAGCGAGAGGGGGACACCGTGTTGGGTGACGCAGGCTTCATGAACGCATTTGGGATATGGGCTAATTGGTGTGGTAGGAAAGCAGGGTAAGGCATTGGGTGAATAAAGCGAGAAGGCAAAGCCACCACGTCCTAGTGTAAGGGCAGTGTCGAACATATGGTGCGCAGTGAAGTTATTTAGGTCCCGTCAACAAGATTCTTAAGCAACCTAAGGGAGCGGATTGTGAGAGCACCATACACACTAAATAGTAAATAGAATTCGCTTCAAAAAATAACCTGAGTTTATAGAACCGACCGCTACAGATGTGTATTTCATGGTTTTTACCACAAGCCACCATTTTTCATAGAAACTACTTTGCCTCTAATCGAGTATATCAAAACGAACATTAAAAGTCTACAGTTTGTTCTAGAAGAACAAGATGTCTCTCAGTTCACGGAAAATGCTGGGAGACGTTCTGTCTACAGTGTTGCTTCCGACAGTGGAAAATGCACTCCTTAGGTTTTCATAGGAGGCTCAACTGAATCTCTCGTTTACAATTCGGCCGAGTATTCCACTAACTTCAGGGTAATTTCTAAGTGGGTGTACTTCGCCAATTGTGTACAACTCGGATTGGGACTAAAGTTGATGAAAATTCGATGGCCACACCCACCCGATGAGTGCCAAAAAAGCGAACCCGGTAGTGAGCTGTCGAAAAGTTTACAGCAACTTTATATGTAATGTGCCATGGTAAAAACCATCTTCGGGATCCAGGAATTAGTTCAATTTCCAAACAATGGCAATTATCTATCTCGGTACTTGAATCTTGACTCCCAGTGGTTACAAAGCTAGGCAGTCTATGAAATGTTCGTAATATTTTATGTTACCGAAATCCTGGAGTACTTTTTAATTGTCGTGACTACCGACTTGTGTGTTAAGCAAACCCGACCACATTTACTGGTAAGTTCAGTACACCAGTGCATGTGATGAACTGTCCTCTCGGTCGTTTCTACTCAGTAAAGAGCTGGACAAAATGACCTCTGCAAGGTGGACAGTGCTCTGAAATAAGAGTACGCCCCAATCAACGTAAGCACGAGTAACTCATCCGTTGCAAAAGAGTCCATGCTTCCTAAAAAGATCTGGCTTACTTCAAAAGTGCTAATGGGATGTTCCCACCAGACCAATGGTCAAACGCCGCGAGTTCTTCCATGGCAGAGATTACGTTTCTGATCAATAAAATATGGATCGGACCGCCCTTAACAAACAAACCAACGTTACGTCGGCACCATAGTTGTTGGAGGTTGTCGGAAACTTCCTGGCCTTTCCGAACCGAGAGATGGTCCCGTCTCCAGCCAATCCAAAGGCCTTTGTACAACTGCCCATGTAAATAAACTCATCTGCCACATCATCTGGATAGTATGCAAGCACTAGGCTTTGGCTCGATTCCACTCAACCTTGTAATGGCATTTTACACTTTGCAAGTGAGAAGTACATACTAAACCGTGTGGTGGGATTAGTTGGGTTATTCAGAATGACGTGCATATTGGAAAGATCTGAGCCGAGAGCAAAAACATCTGCGTACTCAATGTCAGTGAGCGAACGTCCTTGGAGCATTTTAGTCCCAGAAGCCTCAGATTCAGGAAAAAGTCCCAGGCAGAACGTCAGTGACAAAGTTGAAGATGAATGATGAGGGCAAGCTCGCCCCACATTATTACATGTGGTGAACTCAGGCGACAGATTGTTATACACCCGTACGCGCCCACTGGATTAGTGTGCAGTACCCTCGTAAGGGACGCCTTTGGTCGCTAGGCACCGCCATGACTTCTTACGGTGGATCCAGTTAAAAGGATTGCCCAGATCAACGAAAAAGACCGTACCTGCTACCATTTACATCAACATAAACGTAAGTCATCTATTTCGTTTTGGTAAGCACCATCCAGCTACACACGTGTTTGCTGATTCAATGGAAAATGTTGATGAGAAGCAGGTAGAAGGTGGAAAATGAGACAATCTTATCACCCTCGTAGCACACTTCCAGTAAAAAACCAGCAAGGTACCATCAGAATTGCTGAATGCTGTATGTTCGCAAGGTCCACAGGTCTGGATTGAAGATGGCGGCTACGCATCTGAAAAATCAACAGTAATCGTGAACTGGACCGACCCACTCACAACTCTACCATCATGACAGCTACCGACACCATTAGGTATGTAAGGATGTACACACTTCATTGGATTTTACAAAGGCCGTAAAATAAGGATTTGCCTGTTGACAGTTGTATTCCTGCGTGTAACTGGATGAATACAAATGGTTTATGCTGAGCCGGATATGCTGCCTCGTGTGGACCATAGAAGTGAACGCCAGCCGAAGTGATAAGATCGGTTGACAAACAGGAAGAAACCAGATGAAGGTCAACAGGCTAAAGAAAGCTGGCGTCGGCATGAACAGCAGAACGCATCCGACAATATGGTCCTGTCAATCCGAGGACACGCTGAAATTGATAATCCACCAGGAGTCTATAATATATTTGCCTCGTGTTTAGTGATCGAACCACTCTCAAACTCGGAATGAGTCAGTCCTGAAAACTCCCAAATATGGTCAATTATATGACTAATTATGATCAAACAAGCTGGTGTCAGTGAGTTAATACGAGAAGCATTCACCAGTGAGGAAAGCTGGATTGAAAAAAGCTTTTCTAGAAATGATTACTTTAGTGAAACAACATAAACAAGAACTGGACAGATGAGTGTGGTGATACCTGCTAGAGCTGCTTGAGGTCTCAGAGGAAACTGACTGTGTGAAGGGGGAGATAGTGGTGGTGACTTTTGTTGCTGAAGTTGACGCAGACTTGGTCCGGCGTGGGCCCGAGGATCAATCTTATTTGGTCGCGCTAGACTATCCAAATCGATCCGCAGTTTATCCAACTCTTCCCACGTACTTCCAACTTTTGGTTCTGATTTGGGATGAACAGTTGTGTCGAGTGGTGATATGCCTGTTTTATTGTTTCTTGCGCCTGATCCGTCGCTAGGTCCAGGAGGTTGCGTAGTGAACTGAAAGGGCTGAAGTGAAAAAAGACTGCATCGAATACTTTTGAAAAAGAGCTATACAGACGTTCGGCAAACTAGTCCAATCGACAACAAAATTCAAGTGCTCCAACTATGAGTACAAAAACGGTATAGTTTTGTTTTCCATCAAAACTCGTACATTTTATTTTTTAGCGTATTCCATGGATTTGTGAGGGTTGAACATCAATGCGGAACACTGATATAAAGAAGTCAATAAAGGCCATGTAGATTAGGCGAGAGCAGTGAAAAATTGTTACATGCTTGCCTTAAACTGACCTGTTCACTGAAATTTCATGACTCTAGATATTTGCGCAGTGATTTTGTCTTAAAATTCGACGAGTTGGCTGTGACAACGAAAAACGTCACATGATCTAAACCGTACGTTTATGTGGAGTTGTACGTTCACATCAGTTCCATTTTAACAGTCCTCCATCGTCCTGGTGCCACTATTCTGGTTAGCCAACTCCAAGACAAGAAGCGCTGGACTGGAGCCTCGTTTCTTCCAAGAATTAATTAGTCGTACATACCTTTGGTCATGTCGAGTAAGGAATACCCGAGACGAGTGTAGTACAATCAGTCCAACAGCGCACGCTGGGCGCACCCGAATTTTCACGTCTGGACAGATGAACGTGTTCATAATTGAGTGATGTGATTCATCGGCTTAAAGCCTTGAACGATGACGCAGTCGACTGACCAGCCATTCAAGGACATCCAGTCAGATAGCGTCGCGGATTATTGTTAGGAAATTCTGATTAGTTGTATATAGCATGGCGTAATTCTAAAAACTTCCCAATTACGCACAGATAACCGAAATTGTACAGCAAGTTTCAATTGTCCTGAGATGGATAACCCGATGAGATTCAACTGCGCAGCTTCGTATCCGATTCACAGCTCAATGACGTATCTTTCGCTTAAGCTCATGAGTTCGGTTGCTGATACATCGTTCAAACAGTTACAAGAACGCATCGAATCAGACCGATGCAGTAAATCAGACTTAGAAACTGTCATACCCTACACATCTTACCCCTACAACCTGTCTTTTAAAGTTCCAGGCATTAGGTTTCCCCTTTCCTGTGTTTTCAGTCGTGCAACATAAGAAAACGTTGGGCTTATGGATGCAGGCTGACGACAAAACTGGCGGATGGTTGGTACCGAAGAAATGGCGCGGTGAGAATCACAATTACCAGCAACAAGGACATTAAAATCATCAACACCACTGACAGCCTAACATCAGTGTTCAACAAGGATGCTTCGCTGCCGTATAACCATGATTTATTTGGAAGCCTTATTGTGAAGAAAAGAATAAAAGGGAATAGAGAAGGGACTTAGTGCTATTCTAGCACAATCATTCCAAAGTACATACACAAAAACTCAAGCAGTTTGGATAGAAACTAACAAGAACAAAGCCACTCGCAACCCGTGGACTCCATCCTGGAAGGCGAGTCACACCGACGGCACCCAGATTTCATCGCCCTCTACCAGGTTAAATGTTTAACACTTCTCTGCTTGCGCCACTGAACTGGGCACGGAAAACAGCATCCCTAAAGCAAACAGTGATTTGCGATGCGCAAAGCATAGTCTAATCACCACAGCTTTTGGTGCCGGGCACATTCTTTGACAGAAGTCCCTGTTACACAACCGAACGCTTGTTTTCTAATTGGCCCGTTACGAATTCACCGACAGCAACCCACACGAGATCTTCTGAGACAACGGTTGTCGAAAACCTGAAGACGTTTCAGTTCCGCTGATC